CCTTCCCTTCCTTCCCTCCCTCCCTCCCTCCCTCCCTCCCTCTATTCCTTCCTTCCTTCCTTCCTTTTCTTTTAGGTGTTCAGTAATTATTTATTGAAAAAAAATAATCAATTGCTTTCTTAAGATGTGCTTTTCCAGAAAGAAACTGCTGGAAATAGGATAAATATCTTATGTTTAAGATACTATTCATGTACTTAGAGAGGAAAGAACTTAAAATAACAGAAGACCTGAATCACAGAATCCATTGTGCCAATCCTCTGGAGCACACCTCATTGTAGGCAAGGCCTAGGACCTGGACTGGCCTTCCAGGAGGAAAGGGAGGCACTACTGACCTCACTGAGGAATTTACCTAGTCTTGTTCCTCTGGTTGATATCACCAGTATCAAAGAGAGGACCTCTGGATGCCTGAATGGGGCAAGAACTAATGAAGACTACAGTCTCTCCAGCACTTTCCATTATCATGTCTTCCCCATTGCTACTCAGGGGAATTACACCTTGAAATAGCCAGTAAAGAATGCTTTGAGATATACTGCCGATGCCAGTGGTATGATGGTGGTGAGATGATGGGGCGTAGGTGTATTTTAAGTAAAGCTCCAGCGTTTTAGCTCACTTCCACTCCAACTCTACAAGATCAGTGCAAATGGAGCTCAGGCAGGGCCCAAATCATTTTGTTCACCTACTTTCCTGCCAATGATTTCAACCGTGACCTTCAGAAATTCTCTAAAAAATTAAATGTGATTTAGAATTTTCTTTCAGTGCAAACTGCCAGTTGACACATTCTCTTCAAACTCTGTTTGTCAGTAAAAGAGAATTGTTGAAATCACTCAGGGTAAATAAGAGCTTTTCAAGTATTGAAATATCAGTACTAGCTGGGAAGGCCTCATCAATTACACATATGAAATTTTTAAATGTTAATTTTATTTTCAATAGGTTTTATTTTTCTTTATTAATTGTAAAATCAGCAAGTCAGTGATAAAAAGTACAATCCTCTTGTTTAAGGTCAAATGGACATTTACCCTAACAAGCAAAGTGCAAATGTATCTACAGTAAAAACTGGTAAATATATTTTTCAATGTTTTTGTTGTTGTTTTCCCCAGAAATGGTACGCAAATCTAAAATGTAAATTTTACAAATTTTCTTAAGGCAGAGAACTGTCACATCTAAGATGTCAGAACAATGAAACATGTTTATAGGAAATATTTTTAAGCATAAAAATTAAAAAGAACATAATAGTTTCTTTTTTTTTTTAATGTTCCTTCTGTTTTGTTTCATGGGTAATCTTATCAGACATTCAGGCATTATTACTAGACAAAACTGTCATCATCTTATCCTTTTAAGATATCTTTTAGTTTGAGCAACACATTTAAGTTTATCTACCCAGGAAGGGAACAAACTAATTAAAAATCTGTAAAATGTACATTGATTCCATAATCTTATATGAAAATATGCCTTGGACTTTGGATTTGTTAAGAAAGGAAAATAATGTGAACTTTAAGAGTCATAGGATTTTAAGATATGACTTTTTTTTTAGTACATGTTATTTCCAAGGTTATAATAGTATCAAATTAATGATTATAGTAGACTATAATGGATATTAAAATAAAAAATGAGTAAGTTTGCTTTTTAAAAAATTGCTTCTAATTTGAAAAAGAAAAATCCAAAATAGTAGCTAAGGATCTTACCTTAGGAAGCCTTCCCTCCATTTCTTTGTTTGGAAATGGTTCTTGACTGACCCAGACAGAGAGCTCCGGGTAATAAACCTGTAAGAGACATAAAAGCACACACATTCAGATTAAAAACAGGATCCACTTTGAAACCACAAACGGTCAGTTTAATGAGCTCAATTCTCCTCAATTGTTACTTACTTCCTGATTCCAACTTTGAGCCATGGGGAAGCCCATCAACTCTTTCAGACTGTTAGTGTGCTTCAGAATGTTTGCTGCACTAAGGAGAGGTTTAGCTCAGTGTCCAATAGACTAAGTCCAATAGAGCAGAGATAGCAATCAATGTTATCTCCAGCACACCAAGTGGCAGCTTCATGGCATGACTGGCTGAGCAAACTAAGGCACTTGGGGAGGCCTAACTTTCAAAACAATCCATGATAAATACTCTTGTTAAATTTCATATTTATGAAATAAATGTGCCATGTACCTATCAAACACTCTTGGGGTTATCCTAATCATTTATCAGAAGACTCAAAATTATTCACAAAGCATAAGAGAGGAAAGGAGGAAGCAGCCTGCATTCTCTTCAAGTCTCTATAGCTACTGAGAGAGGGGCAGGAAGATGGGGAGCAGTGCCATGAATGATTCAGAGAATACGAACTGATGATTTTGGGGGTGGGGGCAGCAGCGGGGGCAGGTGGGGAGAGTGAGTCAAACTGAGTAACTCTTCTTTAAATATACAAAGATTTATTATCATAAGAAGTTTGCTGACCAGCTGTTCTCCATCTCCAATAAAGACAGGCGTAGGGGATTAGGACTTAAATTACAACTACAGATTTAGGTCAGCTATAAGAAAGAACTTGGCATAAGAACTATTGAAGTACTAAGAGAATTTAGAGAGGGAAAAAATGCCAAATCTTCTTTAAGAAATTTAGATACAGAATGTAACAACCTAATTCAGGGCTAATTCACATTTGATACAGCCTGGCTTGAAGAGAGTGGAGGAAATTGTTAAGACCCCCTCCAGATCTGATTCTCTAAACGCTACAAATATGCATCACATTTAATAAATAATAGAAAGAATCACACATCATTAATAGTTTAACAGACTTAACGTGTTGTTTTTGTTTTTGGAAGTACTAGATGTGGTAGCCTAATTACTGGGTTAACCACAACGTCTTCAATGTCCCAATCAATCCATTTGATCCTGAGGTCTGAGGTAGCAAATGTGGATGACTGTGCTGATTCCTGGGATAGTAATATTGCTCTCCTCCAGTAACATTTATGGCACATCCCAATTTACAAAGCAGCTTTGCATATATCACCTAATTTATCCTGATGACAAGCCCATGAATAGGTCTTATCATTACAGAGATGAGGAAACTGAAATCCAAAAAGGTCACCCGACTTGCCCAAAGTCATAATTAGTGTAGAACGGAATTGAACTCAAACCAGGTTTCCAGATTCTAAACTTTAGTTCTTCCCGCTACCCCCATGATCTTGAATTATCCCAGAATGCAAACTAGCTACCATCCGTTTCTCAGAATTACACAAGTTCATAGCCACCACACAGATTTAGGTCTTAAATATTTGAGAGTTTATCTTGCAAGAACTGGACCTATTTTCTGACTTTGTACAGAGTCTGCTCTGGCCATGTGATTCCCCCAACCCCGACCTCCTTCTTCTTGCTCAGCTTTCCCCAGCTCGCACCAGCTCCTTCTGGGAGAATTCTACCATCTACCTTGTTTGGGACAAACAGCCATCCCTGACATTCCTTTTAGGCAGGAATGGGTGAAGAAAACAAAATTGCAATCTAAAATACACTAGCTTAAAAGAAAGTTGCAGCATACAAAATTCCAGTTTGGGCTTAATTTTACGAGACCCTAAATTGGGAGCAACTGTAAATTCACTTAATATAAATAGATATAAGATGATTACATTATCTACATTACTACTTTTAAAAGCATGCTTCGAGTACATTAAAAATAGTACACATATTAGTGAGAAACAAAGTTCCATTGTAAACTGAAAACACTGATAAAAATATATGTAAAAATCTAGTAGGCATATGGATGCAACGAAAAGCAAAATCAAGTAAACGTTATGTCTGTGTTCTTATGATTTTCTGTGATATTCTATTTTAACAAAATCACACTGCTTTAGCATTTAACTTCTAGGTTCAAAGCATCAATACTAAAGCTACCCGAGTCTGACTTGTAGAGAAAAAAATAGCTTGCGTCTCAGAAATTATACTTATTATTACAATTTGTTTTTCTAACTTTCCTTTTTTAAGAAAAACAGTCAGTGATTTTTTGCCAAAGAACTCAGGAACACGAGTATCTGATAGCAAAACCCACAACTGAGGAAACTTCCCCACCTACCTCAAATTTGTTCTTTTGAAACATATTAATTTTAGCCACAGATTTGTGAGGGGCATTTCTAATTAGGCATTTTTTAGTGTTTGAGTCATAAAGTAATCATTGTATACTTTAAGAAAAGTAAATGTCACTTTGGCCTTGTGGTAAATTCTTCCAGTCTACTTCAGAATCAGAACTTTTGAGCCCCAAATGGCAAGAACAGAGGAGTCTCAGTTACATTCTTAAAACCTGCTTGGCTGGTCTCTAAGAACTGAGCATATTCCTGGACATGGTATCTAAATAGAATATTTAAACTTCCTTTTTAGGTTTTGGAAAAAGGTGCTGGATTATTGGAATTATATGATACCTACATTACAACTTTGTTCTTTCTTATACCTGTGGTGTTGTGAGACTCTAAAATGAAGGTCTTAAGAGAAAAGATATCATGCACTCACCATGAGTTTGTGAATCACCTCCAATGTGCTGGACACTTAGGTTCTGGGAATTGCAAGAAGAGAAAATAATAGGGCTTGCTTTCTAAAAGCTCAAATTGAGGGGGTGGGAGGAGTGTGCAGTAGGGGTGACAGACCCTCTAAAAGATCGTTTTAAAAGTGTGTGCTATGGACTGGATTGTGCCCCGCCCCCATTCATATGTTGAAGTCTTAACACCCAGCACCTCAGAATGTGACTGTATTTAGAGATGAGTCTTTAAAGAGGTGATTAAGTTAAAATGAGATCTTTAAGATGGACCCTAATCCAAGGAATGATGTCCTTACAAAAGGGGGAAATGAGAACACAGACACACACAGAGGGAAGACCACGCACAGAAACAAGGAGAAGACCGTCTACAAGCCAAGGAGAGGAGTCTCAGGAGAAACTAACCCTGTCAACACCTTGACCTCAGACTTCTAGACTCCGGAACTGTGAGAAAATAAACTTCTACTGTTTCAACCACCTAGTCTTGGTACTTTGACAGCCCTCAAACTAATACAGTGTGCTTTAAGTGCATTAAAACAACAACAACAACAACAAAACAGATGTATAGGTTATGTCAAATATAATAGCTGTTGGAACACGTATCAAATGACAAACAAACAACACCAACATTTACCAAAACATCTAGTAGCACTGTCAACAGAAGAGATGGAGGCAGCAGTGAGTGGATCTGGGAGTGATCCCACAAGCTGTGACTCCACAGGCTGCTGTGCCCCAGTTTTTTTTTTTACCCAGTCCATAATACTGGGAGCTGACAATGACCCTGTAACTGAGGCTTTTGAGTATTGATAACATGTGTGTCAGAAAACAGGACTAAGTTGATCTGTCTTTCTGGAGTCCTTCCGTTCCTGCTGGACCCTAAAACTTAATTCTTCTCGGTACTAGTCAACTGCTGCTCTGAAGATGGACACATGGCTTAAACTATATTACAGTCATTCCTTTTTCTGGATTCAAGTTTGTGTTTTTCATGAAGAACAATTAACCTTTTCCTTTATAAACTTTACCGAGTTCTCTCTCTCTTCGTGGTGGTGGTGTACATCTCAAAAATGTAAGCAATGCAGGCAATCCACATGGAAATACTTCAAAACTGCTGTCGTATTAAATGAGTAAGCCAAAGTGTGCCTTGATCTTCATAAGAGAAGTATGTGTCCTTTTAAAACCGTTTCCATAGAAAAAAGCAGCATTTGTTTGTTCTTGCTCAAGTAAAGTCCTCAAAACCCTCCAGAAGACTGTTTTTCCAGAAGTGAGAAAACAGAGAAGCAAGCTATACCCTCAACAACTAAGAAAACATGAGCATTTGGAAAATATAAAGGGAAAAATTTTTTATTGTTTTAAATTGCAGGACATGCAAAGGTTTTGCTTGAATTCTAGGGTAGTTTGAGTGTCTCTGTTTGTCACTAAATATATGAGTTAATGTGCCTTTTTCTACAATGCTATATTTATATCACTGACAACTATGTTTAAAAACAACAGAACTGACATGAAGAACTACATTTGTTTAAATATACTAATCATGACAGATATGTATTTAAATATCCATGAATAACTCTTAGGTAAAACCAATTTTTTGCTTTCAAGTATACTTAATATAGTTAAACCCACTATATATTTAAACCTATAGTTTTATGGTGAAAATGTACTATTTCTTACTGATTCTCTTAAATGTATTTGATGGATGGCTATTTAAGTTTCAATTGTCTATCACAGCATTCAAGTTAAAAATAAAATGCTCATGATTTTTACCTTTTTAAATCCTTCTTTCTTTTGAGGCTTGTTATTCTCTGGACAATGCATCATACAAAATAACTTCACTTTTTTAAGTCTATAAGGTAATTAATTATCTTGCCAATGGATATTACTTGGTGTTCAAATTAGAAAAATAATTTGTGGGGAAAATCAGAGACCACTTCTCCAAGCTTCTAAAAAAATGCAAATTAGATAATCCTTTAAATTCTTTTTTTAACCTTTTAAGCTTTTCATTTCAAAACTTGCTATTTATTTTCTAATAGTGTGTACAGAATCAATCTAATTGATATGTTTCCTAGCACTTGATACTGCATGTAAAATTTGAATTGTATCTATTTACTACTTGTTTCCAAATTTGTATATGCCTCTCTTCATTTACAATATTTCTTTGAGGAGACTTATATGAGAATGATCCTCAAAGGCAAAGTCGTGGCTTTATTCAGAGTCTAAATACATCACATACATATATGCTGCTTAACTGATTAACATACTTTCTCT